GTGCACGAGGTTTTAATTACGTATTTTGACTGGTCATGAAAATTATACAAAACCCAGACAGCATAAACGATATAACATTTTCCTTAAAAGATTACCCGCTCTTTGTGTTGGTAAACGTTTTTTGCGGCTATGTGTTGACTTTTTCCTTCTTTCATTCTTTCTTTACAGCACCAGCACAGATAATTGTCCCGGTAGTGATGGCCTGTTTGGTGCTCATTGCTTTCCTTATTGTTTTCCTCCGCCTTCGCCGTGGCGCGTAAGTTTGAATTTAGAGTTGTAAAATAAAGCACGTCGACCTCAGCTCAGTGGCCTTAATTTGAAAAGTCGCACACTATTGTTTTGTTCCAAACTCAACCTTTCACACTGGAACATTAGTATGCATATCATACTGTTCTCTACACATTTCCATGGGTGTTCATAAGGAAAATTTATTTAACAATCACGAGTTTCTTTAATTGGTCATCATTTCCTTTATTCCCCTGACCTTAATGCGTGATTAAGGGGTGACATTGTAAGGAGAGTTTAGATGCTGATCACTTTACTGACCTCACATAATGCACAGCATAATAAACGGCAGGGCATGAAAGAACTACGCTGCTTTAATTTCAATTGAATGATAAAACACTAAGGGCCGTTTATTTAAACAAAGTTTAGCCGTTGTTTTAACAAAAGCCATCTTCAATTTCGCCGAAGCTTTTTTTCTGAAATTTATTTTTGTAAACAATGTCGAGACAGCCGAAAGCCAATAGTGAAAGGACATATATTTAACTGAATCAACCCTCTTATTGAGAATCCCTGGTTGGAGGCTGGCTGCTGTCCGTACAACTTTTAAGGATCTTCTGTTACTTTTGAAGCGCAAAGAAGACTGAATACAGCGGCATGGCAGTTCAAGTCGGGAATCCATCATTCCTGTACGAAGAGATGCTTGATTATGAGGAGAGTAACCCAAATCCCGATGTTGACGACGGATCAGAAAAAGTAAGTTGATAAACAGATGTAGCCTGCAGTGCAGGGGTCTCATTAAACTTATTAGGAGGATTTAGAATGGACATTGGGCGAGAGAGTGGAGATAGACGAGTACAAATTGCCCCGTCCCCTTCCTTCTCCTTCCTTTGACCGTCGATCACCTCTTTAAAACAAATTTCTTTCTTTACCCAGAATTTCGCTGGGGTAAAAATCAAAGATGGTAGCAATGATTTTCATCAAGAAAATATTGAGCACTCGCTCGGCAAAATTATACCTGCTCTACAGGCTAATACAGATATAGTTTGAATTTGATATCATAGTAGAAGAAACTATTTCGAGTGTTGGTTTATCTTGAGTCGATTGTGAGCCGAGTTCGACCCTTGTTAAACCATTTTTTGGCATTATGTTTTTATTGCAAATGTTCGAGGTTTCTTTTGCAGGAAAATCTTAGAATAGAAAAAGCATGTTTCTATATTTCCCTTTAAGTAACCGGAGAGAGAGACTATATTCGTAGCTGCTTTGCAGCTGCAAGAATGTTGTCATGCAAGTTTAGGTTTGTATCGTCTTTATAAGTTGATGAATCTTGCGTTGCGTTTGTAACGCAACGTGGGCAAAGGGTGACGTGACGCTAAGGTTATACCAGCGGAATGAAATTGCCTTATGTACGTTTTCTCAGCGATGTTCTTTGTGTTTCCGGCTTTTAGTATTGTTATTTTGACAATTTGTATCGTTTTTTTTTTTTTATTTTATTGTCAGGGTACAACCTTTTCCAATCCTGTTTATGAATCTGTTTACCGCTCCGAGACGAGTTTGGGTTCTGAGGTGTTCCGCGAGAATAATCTGCCCAAAGTGGAATTTCGTAAGGGCAAAGTGGACTTTTCAAATCCGGTGTACGAAGCCTTGTTAGCGCACAATACGTCGCGAAAGCCTGGGTCGGTATTCTGGGGAAGTGCTGAGAATGTAAACGGAGAGGCCTCGGGTGACCAAGTCGAGACAGACTGTCTATGAAATTACAAACAAGCCACGTGTTCTTGACAGGACCACGCTCACGAATTTGAGAAGAACATGAAAATGCAAGCCAAGGGAAAAGAAAGAAATAAAGTGTCAAAACAGGAACAAGAAGTCAATCTTTCCCAAAGAATTGTTTGCGTTTTGGTGCTTTCAGCGTTTGTTGTTGAGTTTGGAGAAAAGTTTGCATTGCCCTTATATCATAAAAATGGCGAGTTATTTGCTGCGCATCTTCAATGTATTAATTCGAAATTGGTCAAAATCACGTTATTTAAGTTGGCAATTTATAGGAACTTGTTGAACGTAAATGAAACGTTCTGCTTGCGAGTACTGCTGGGATTGCTTTGATTTACTCTTATATGTAACGCAAACGAACTTAGTTGGTGTCAGTCTCCTTGAAATTTTATTTTTCTGGGATAACAAAACATCGTAATGAATTTCTAGAATTTTAGAACGAATTACATTTGACTACAGAATATCTCAAGTTTTAAACTCCTAGTATGTGTTATCTTAAATGGTTTTTGACTGTAAAGTTTGGTAAAACGCTATAATTTTTAAATCTAAATTGTCACCGTAATTTTAATGATTATATGGCGCAATTAATATCTACTGCTTTTGCTAATTTTTTTTGCTGATTTATTGCACTCTCTCCATAAGCCAGCTTTTTATGATTTAGTTCACAAAGTTGATAGCCCTGACCAAGTGGTTGAGGGAAGATACGAAAGTAAAAAATAAGTTATTACAAAAAGTGTCTTGGTATCAAATTCTTGAAATTGAATTTGTACTCCCAAGAGATGTCTTTGCTCGTTATGCAAAGAGAAATTAGCATTTGTTATCAAGTTTAACCACAATTATTAAGTTATAATAATACATCATGATATATTTAAAATTGGTGTAATATTCTCTCACAGCTTTCAAGCAGAGAATTATAAAACATAATCTGTATTTATTGTGCTTGTCTTTAAAAGTTTGAATGTTTTAAGTTATGAAATATGCTACAGGTATATATTTTTGTAGTTGTAGAACGGTTTGAAAACACCACATACATGTAGCTGTTTATTTATAAGGTGTAATATTTCATGTTTAATGTGATCCAGATCACTGTGGAGGTAACTCATCAAGGCAGTGTGATATTAAAACAATGTTAGTTAACCTCAACAGCTGATATTAAAACAATGTTGGCTAACCTCATTACCCTGGCTGGTTTTCTTTGTCTTGAACCCCAAGACCACCCTTTTCTTCCCTTGGATGGCCACCACTAGTTGATCCAATACTACATTCTCTGAACTAACATTATAAGAATTGCATGGTTGACAGTAAGGAGAATTACAAATTTGATCTGGGAGTTATAGGGTTAACTGCCAAGTCTCTCTCCTTTTGTTGCTACACATTTCCTTATAAATTAGTTGTATGAATTTGGTGTTACCGGTAGGCCAGGACAAAAAGTTCCACCTGATAAGTTTGATTTTTGTCATTACCTGTTTGGCAGGTGTTATAGGGAGAACTTACATAATGATCACTTCTGGGAGTTAAGAGCTTAAGAGATGTAAAAGTTTTGAAGATGGATTACCGTTATGAAAACTAACAACTGCAGAACAAACTTTGAGGTATGTTTTTATGCAGTATTCTTATCTGAAGAATTTCTGCAACATCATGGGGCACCTTAAATGCTTTGGGTAACACATCATTTACAATATAGATGTCCCTGGTTCAAATTCTTCTGTATCCCACAAACTGCAATATCTAAGCAACAATCCAAGCAACCAAGAGTGAGTTTTAATTCCTTGTTAATAAAGTGTTACATGATACAAGTGTTAATCTCTTTCCATCACCCCTACAATTTTACTTCAATTTTAGTACACTTGGCAAAATAAAAATCCTGTTTTGATGACCACTTTACAGTTAAAAGTCACTTTGGTTTTATCAAACGAGTTGATAATAAGAATTGGTTACCATAAAAACATGCTAAAGCTGGGAATTTGAGCATGAGCCCTTAATCAGGATTCCCTTTGAAGGGCGGCTTTCAACATTTTCATAGCTCATTGTTGCAAGCAGCTTGGCATCTCTAGGAAGAGGTTCTGTACATTAGTGCCATAATGACAGTAAGGTTATCGAAAGCAATTACACATCCTTTAATTATAAACAGGGGAGTCACAGATCCCCCTTCCTCACTCTTGTCTACACTATGCCCATAAGTACAAGCAACTGTCACAGTGATCCAATTTACTACACACAGGTCTTTGTGAGCACTAAGACAACAAGTATTCAGCTCGGCATCAGGTGAACTTCTTTTTAGTTGCAGTAAATCGGGCCATGTACTAAAGGAAAAAAAAAAGAAATGGCTCCACATCATGGTCACTATCGAGCAAAGATTTTTATTTTAATGGCTCAAGGTAGCCTGTTATACACTCTCAGAAAAAGCAGGTGGGAAAAAAAT